CAAATTTCCCCCTCATATATTTAGGTGTCCCCCAGGATATAAACACACGGTAGCCATAGGCAATCACCTCCCGCGTTATATTTCAAACATTTCAATAATCTGCRACTGAAAATCGTGCTCTTTCTGGTAGAAAAAAAAAATTAATCATCGATCAGCTCTGGCAGACAAATTTTGCAGATGCTGAGCAGTTCATTTAGATATTCCTAACTTCATAAAGCAATCTAAAGAATAAATGCTTATGAGGCATAATGAGGCAATTTTTTTCATCTTGAAGACTGACTTTGATGTAGTTACCATACACTCGTTCCCACAGTATTATTATTAATAATAAAAAAGTCCAAAGTTGGTCTTATGTATCACCTGGCATGAAACAAATGAATAAAGGTGTCAAAGCCGGTCCAATAATAACTATTCACAAGTAAATAGTGAGGACACTTTTTTCTTCAACCATGTAAATTGAATTTGATGTTATTAACAAACACTCGGTACTGCAGTATTAATAAAAAGCAATCCAAAGTTTCAGCCCAGCAGATCTAACCTCATAGGTGGCGGTGGAACATATACTATACCGAGGAGAGGAAAGAAAAGCCGCAAAGAGAATGAATTTCACGCGAATTTCTTCAAGTACGTCTCTGTTTTACAACCGTACATGGAACGAACGTGTTGCATGGGCGTGTGTGTATTCTGTTGAAGGAATTCTTATCTTTGCTGGCAACACTTTGGCACTTGTTATTTTTCTTCAGCCAAGCTTTGTGTCCAAAAAGTCCATATATTTTGTGATATCTCTGACAGTTGCTGACTTGATAACTGGAGTTACAGTGATGTTAGCTGTTAATTCAATAAGCAAAGTCAATGAAGAAAAAGGGCTTGCGACGATCGAAATCGTTCAGCTTTGGTTTGACATCTTTTCAGGGTGTGCTTCGATATATTCCCTGACCGCTATAGCCATAGAAAGGTTTTGTGCTATCTTCTGGCCTTTCAAGCAACGTCTTGTTAAAACAAGGACATACTTGATCAGTATTGGTGCAGTGTGGTTCTTGTCCCTATCGATCCCAAGCGTAACCATACTTCACACGATCTGCTGCCCTGGCGACGAAAGCCTTCAGATTGCTATAGGTTATTTCATGATGTGCTTTGGATTATCTTGCATAGGAACTGTCGTTCTATCGTATTTATCCATTTGGATAAAAATTAGCTATTGTAATAGGCAGATTCAGCCTGACCTTGCCAACAGACGCATCAAGAGACTCACAACCACCCTCTTACTCGTCACCCTCGTTTCTGTAGCAACTTTGGTTCCTAACTTTGTTATTCTAATCGTGCAGGTTATCTGCCCGACATGCTTGTCTTCTCTCTTCCCAAGGCAATACTATGCTATCGCAAACTTTCTTTTTTACGCCAATTCGTTTGCAAATTTCATCATCTATACGTGCAGGATGAGAGAGTTCCGATCAGAAATAGCCAAGATCTTTTGCAAGTGCGTCAATGTTCTGCATTTCTTTCGAAAATGCCAAAGAAATGTGAATCCTGAGCTCAACCATGACAGCAACGCCAGTACTGTTAGCCAAACACAACCGACTTTGATTGGAATGAAAGTGTTGCATATATACTGAGCGAAAGTGTACGCCGGTGAACATAGAAAGGAACGCCAACTAAAATACTTTGTAGATTATCAGATATCATTCAGGTTACAGTTGTAAAGACCTAACTCAGTCCGATCTTGCGTTTCCAGTCCTCGAAAGTAAAAACACTATAGAATACTTTAGTTCACGTGTGTGTGTGKGGGGGACCTCTGGGGTAAAAGTATCGGGTATGATCGTCGGAAATTTTCAAAACTACCTCTAAACGATACCAAACGTCTTTTTAAAAGGGCGTGGTTGCACGATTTTTTACCCCTAAGAGATACCTTAAAAGATGCCAAGATATGCTGAAATTCTTTATTTCAATTTCAACACCCTAAAAGATAACCAATTCGCTGATTTTTAAACAAGGCCTACTTTGACGTTTCCGAAAATTCATAATTTTTCTTTATGTTCAATATGCCTAAATGTGTTGTGGCACATGCACCAGAACTTAAAAAATATCACTATGCTATAGCATAACCCTTCTAAAATGACATTACCAAATATTATTGGCGGCCCGCTAAACCTCGTTCACTGAGAGCCCCAAACGTGTCGGTAGTTTTCACTTTAGTGAGCGTTACGCAACGCTCATTGTATTAGGTCAGCAGCTCATTTTCTCGGAATTTCACTATACAGATAGCAAGTTAAAAATAATTACCTTGATGTTTTTCTGTGAGCAATTTCTGAGGGACATTTCACTATACAGAAAGCCAGTTACAAATAATTACCTTGATGTTTTATATATTTCCAACAAATTTCCAATATATTTTCAACATCCTTCCAGAACTTCCAAAATATTTCCATGGTATTTCCAACATCCCTCCAGGACTTCCAACATATTTCCATGATTTAGTTTTGGACACTTCCAACATTCACTTCCAACATATTTCCGACCTATTTCCAACATTCACTTGCAACATATTTCCAGCATATTTCCAACGCATATTTTCAACATCTCAAATCGATAGATTTTTCCAGTGTAACTATAAACTGTTAACTGTTCTAGGGGACAAATTCTAAAATTAGAATTTCGAAAACGACATCCTAAACTTTAAACTTGACAAACGTTGAGCTGCTCCTTAATAAATGTATATACTAAATAGTTAAGAAAAAAAGCCATGGCATTTGTTATGCAACAGAGTTTTGTAGGAATGATCTGTTCACATGATGAATGCTTTYTGTATATGATTATGCAAGTCTAGCATGTTTAGTTTAGTGACCGAGATTGTTTTGACTTGGAGATCTGCTTGTAGTTTCCTGTTCTACATACCTCTTTAAAATTAACCTAAACATTCAAACCACCAAGGTTGAACTTGTCTAGATACTTGATGTAAATAGAACTTCAGATTAGATTACCTGGTATATAAGGACGAGCAATTCAACTATAACTGTGTATTCAATCTTTTACTTTAATAGTTGTGAATAAGGCTAAGGTTGTAGTTCGGGTTGTACTGGGAGGTACAGACCTAAGTAAGGACAGTGGCCGAGTAAGGAATCCCGACTGACAGCCACACCGACGAAGGAAAGTCCTTCTGGTCAACCTGACTCTGCTCTAGTTTGTGTAGTTAGATCTGCCTCAACTTGTATAAACGTCTAAGACGAGGTTCAATAAAACGAGTTGGCTCGACAGACCAGAGATCCCTCGCGTTATATAGTGCTATACGTAGTGCTAAATATTGAAACCCAATTATCTAATTGAATATTCGTCTGCAGGAATAAAACTAAACGAATATAAACTATTTAGTAGGTGCTTTAACTCTTAAAAGTTTTGAAGATATACTGTAACATCTTTTGCCGCATCAAAAGAAATGTTGATGTACCGTTCTTGCAAACGATAAAACTTTTCGCACATACTTTCCTGTGTGCTCTTTCTGTAAGGATAACTCATCCGAGTTGTTAAGATTCTTGACAGCATCCTGGGATATAGTAAATGAAGAAAAAAATCAATATATTGAATGGACGAATGCATGGCATTGAGCTGTCAAGTTGTGACGTATTTCTGGGTCCAACGGCTGAGAAACCCGCTAAATTAGAGCAAAAAGTCTTCTAAATGATTTAACCAAATCTCACAGGAAACAATTACAACTTTGGATAACAAATCCTGTGATGCAGAAAAATGAAATAAAAAGTACGATTGACAGTCACACTTAAAAGTTAGTATAGAAAAATATTTCGTACCTCACTTGTTTGTGCGCTCTGACATTTTTGAATGGATAACTTCTTATCTGAGTTGTTAAGATGAATCTGCACATCTTTCTAGGTAATAATTAAAAGAAAAAATACTTAATCCTGTTATAAATGGATGAAAACCATCTACCAAATAAATGTACAAGACTTTTTCATTCTGCAGATCTATATGCATTCAGGAGCGGATCCAGGGAAAGGGAGAACGGGGGGACTGTAGCTTGCTCCAACCCCCTTCACAGGGTTCCCAGCCATTTTGAAAATAAAAATTCCCTGACTTTTCCCTGACCAAATAACAGTTGTCACTGACCTTGTTGAGCCGCATGGGCGAGTATGGGCCAGCTCTTATCATATTACACAGGATACCCAACGTAATTAAACTGTCCGGCATAAATGACACTAAATACTTCAATATTTTTTTCATTGTTTGAAAGGATTTATCAGTCTATTCGAAAATTGCAAACAGTATGAGTATCACACGGATACTTATGGTTAACTTTAAACAAAATTCCCTGGCTTTTCCCTGACTTTACGTGAAAATCGCAATTTTCCTGACTAAATAACAAATTCCCTGACTTTTCCCTGACTGTGCTATCCCTGACTTTTCCCTGACCCCTGGGAACTGGGAACCCTGCTTCAGCTATATATAGTTTTATTTGATAAAAGTAATGGATTTACAGTAAAATGAGCCGTTACTTAGAAGTCAAGCAAAATTCGGTCAGCCCCCCTTATATATTTGGCTGCATCCGCCCCTGGTATTAGAGCTTCAATATTTATATCACATCTTGACAAGATTGAAATATGGCTGCCATGTTTTATACACGAGTTCGTGTAGAAAGTAATTCATAACGAGAAAACTAATAAAAGCAATCGACAAAAATATATTGAAATCGTCTTCGCTGAGACCTCGATGTCGAGGTCTTAGCCTAAAGGTGCGATTACATGGAGCAATTTTCGCTGCAACTGGTATCGCAACAGTGTTGCGAAACAAGTTGAATGAAGAATTGCAAGGTGTAACCTACAGTACAATTCGAAAAATGTTGCGAGACAAGTTGCAGCAATCGTTGCTAAAAGTAGAATTCGTTTCTACTCAGTTGCAACGTGTAAACACTCTAGCACGTCCTGTGTTGCAACGYTCTTGCGAGACAAGTTGCAGAGAAATTGCTCCGTGTAATCGAGCCTCAAAAGCCCTAATATCCAACCTTGTGGACGACATTCTTTCCGAGCTCAAATCCATTGACATTTTCTGATTCCTCTTTAGATACTGTGATCGTAAAGCCGTCATCCTTAAAGATCCTTCGCTCGGACTTGCGCCAGAAATTTAAATCATAGTCTTTGGGGAAGTCATTCGGTTTTATCAAATCAAGATCCAGACTTCCGTTCTTCAATTTCAAGCGTTCGTCCAGGAATTTCATCAAAACATTGAGCTCATCGTCACCGTCTTCGGGAGTATACGAGCCCTTTTTGAATTCTGTGAAAAGCGAAAAAAAAAAACACTTTATTATTCGGTTATTTTACGAGTATCCACTTTTCCCGCTTTTTTTGGTTCTTCCGGCAGACGCGCGCGTACCATTGCATTGGTCGGAAGTAAAATTTTCCCGCTCTTCCCCATACCATTAGCAAACGAATTTCAACCGAATATATATCGTTTTATCCTCAATGATTTTGATCGAACCTTGGAATAAATTAACCCTGGGTTAATCCAAGTCAGGATGCGATGAACAAAAACTGCTCTCCGTGCTCAAAACACGTCAAACCTTTGTGTTCGGCTGCACATAGGATAAAAACCCTCAAATTAAGAGAGAGACTTACCAAACTCATTTTAGTAAACGTCGGTGCCAGCATACTTACTTGTTTGAATAAGAAGACTACAGTCTATATCTGTGTTAAGCAGAATAACGTGGATTTTCATATGCTGAACAGGTGGATCCACTAGTTTATAAGAACCTCCCTGAATCTCAATCTCAGGATCGAGACGTGAATATTTTAACTCTCCATTTTCTTCCCTTAGATACACCTAAAATTGTAAGAATATGAGTCAGAAACTCATAACGCTCAGGGGCGGATCCAGGGGAGGGGTGCAGGGGGTGCCCCTACTTTGTACCCCTACTTCGAAGATAACCAATACTGGTTTTTTCCTTTTGATTCTAAGGGGTGCAGCCCTCGGGTTAACATTGTGTGCAGTACCCCTCCCTGAACAAAATCCTGGATCCGCCCCTGACACATAACCAAATTTAATGACTTTCATAGGATATCAATCACTGAATCTCTCAATGGAAAATTTGGAATATATCGCACTAAAAAAAAGTATGGCTGTTACACGTTTCAACCCCATTATGAGTTTTTGTATAACTCCACTTATTTGGATAGTTTAAACTTTTCATGGTTTTATCACATATCTGCAGCTAGGAACATGAATCGATACGCACCGGCAAAACTGAAGAGATTCGTTGTTATGATGATTAGTCCAAAACAATAATAATTTGTGAAAGTTAGTAATTATTTATCCTCAGCCTCAGAATGGCTTTCCAGCTCGTACTACGGTACGACATGCCGTAGAGTGGTTTTGGTATGAGGGGAAACATACGGTACCGACTTACAGCACGTACACGGTACAGCATGCCGTAGAGTGGTTTTGGTATGAGGGGAAACATACGGTACCGACTTACAGCACGTACACGGTACAGCATGCCGTAGAGTGGTTTTGGTATGAGGGGAAACATACGGTACCGACTTACAGCACGTACACGGTACAGCATGCCGTAGAGTGGTTTTGGTATGAGGGGAAACATACGGTACCGACTTACAGCACGTACACGGTACAGCATGCCGTAGAGTGGTTTTGGTATGAGGGGAAACATACGGTACCGACTTACAGCACGTACACGGTACAGCATGCCGTAGAGTGGTTTTGGTATGAGGGGAAACATACGGTACCGACTTACAGCACGTACACGGTACAGCATGCCGTAGAGTGGTTTTGGTATGAGGGGAAACATACGGTACCGACTTACAGCACGTACACGGTACAGCATGCCGTAGAGTGGTTTTGGTATGAGGGGAAACATACGGTACCGACTTACAGCACGTACACGGTACAGCATGCCGTAGAGTGGTTTTGGTATGAGGGGAAACATACGGTACCGACTTACAGCACGTACACGGTACAGCATGCCGTAGAGTGGTTTTGGTATGAGGGGAAACATACGGTACCGACTTACTGCACGTACACGGTACGACATGCCGTGAAGCTGAAATGGCGAAATAGTTATATATCAAAATAGTAACCTGCCGTCGCTACGAACATGTTTTCAAAAGTTATGGAATCAGTCCGTTTTTTAAAGCTTAAAAAGCCATTTCCCAGCGCTGTAATAGAGATGTTAAAAGGTGTTTGAAGCAAAGCCGAGCACCTTCATAATGATCTTTCTGCAAGATGGAGAAATAATAGAAAAATCATATCTTGTGAAAGGTGGCACGGCGTCCTCTTTATCTGATGAAAGTGCTTCCACGAGATTATCAACGTCTAGTTGTTTAAGTCCTCCATCAAAACTCGTCTTCCACGCTTCGGACTGCTCTTTTAGGTTCGTCTTAAGCTCTTTTACAGAGTATTTTGGACTTTCTTTATCCGCTGAAAAACAAAAAGTCTCGGTAAGCCGTTTAGGTGAACTTGAATCAGAACTTTTGAATCGAAGGTAAGATCTTTCTATAGTAGGAACATTCCTATTAAGTGCATCCTCCAAATTGGGTTAGTCTGTTGCAGCACGCATGCAAAGGCGCCAAAGGTTGCCGCATAGGACAAATAGTAGTTACAGATGAATACGGCGTATTTACTATATGTATGACCCACCTTCATCAACGTCTTTCACATAAACGTTACCATATTGACACAAAAAGTCAATTTGAAAGCTATCTCTGTCGTGACGCTCATGAAGTTGCCTCAGAGTTTGATGAATTCTTTCACATAATAGATTTACTAGCCCTTCATTTCTATTTTCCTGTGGTTATGAAACCAATAAATAGGGTCAACTCACGCATAAGCAAACTCATAAATGTTTCGCGGAAAACTGTCATACTAGTTATACTTGGCTATGGTGGCACACCATATTATCTTGCTAATTCAGATTTTTAATTCCATGTATGGGACTGTTTAGTAAATAATTGTTAAATATTTACACATACGAAAGCGGAGAACTGAAAAAAAAAATCATGAAGATTGAAGATTGACTTTACCTCAGTAGATACGTTTACTTTGGCTTTACCAACTATCTTATAGTGACATCCTAGCCAACGCGAAGGGGGATTTTCCATAAGTCTTAAAGAGAATTCGTCACTCTCACCATTAACAAACCAGTCATCAACAAACGTCATGGTTTGATATCCTGTTATCTTAAATTCCTTCATCTTTCTCTTGCTGCTCTGAGTAATGATGAAAAATATATTGTCGATAATTAAAAACACGTATGGTAGAGCGTATCCAGGTTTGCCACAGGGAGCCCAAAATTAAAGTATATCACAGCAGTACAATGAACTGCGAGAAGTATGTGGCTGTGTAACACACTTTCAAGGTATAGAATAATTTTCGCTGTTTTTTTATACAAAATGCGGGAATTATTCAGGGTGTCATAGACTCTCACAGAGTCTCAAACTATTGCAATTATTTAGGCTGTTAGTTTACTAGATAATGAGTTATTATGATTTTCAGTTTAGAATTCTGGTATTTTGTTTCTTTTTATCCTCCTCTGCAGGCGTCTTTCTTTCCTTCGAACCACCTACCTTTGGTGTGGAAGAGAGGGAGGACAATAGCGAGTGAAAGGAAGAGAGGAAATATTTTGTTTTTTTCCTGTCTCCTCACAGGTAGCCCAAGCTTGGTTTCTGTGGTGTCATGTTATAAGGAAATGTATGGGGATTCACCAATRAAATTACTGAAACGTGAAATTGGCCTCAAAATTTTACGTTCTCATTGAGAAATCCTCCCAATCTCGTACCCAGAGTATTCCGGCGCCTTCCTGTCGTCAGTCACAGTGTTTGGGACAGCGCCTGCTACCCTGCGAGCAGAGGTTTTTTTTCTGACCCTCCGTGGAGCTGGCTATCTCCCCGACAGCCAGCTCCACGGAGGGTCAGAAAAAAAACCTCTGCTCGCAGGGTAGCGCCTGCTGATAATAGGAAGGCGCGGGAGGATTCTGGGTACGAGATTGGTCTCCTACACGTCCTCTCCTGCGTAACAGGCGTTCTTCGCTGAGAGGCCGAGAAGAACGCCTGCCTTCCTCTTACGAATCCTTCTTCTCCCTTTCTTTAACACACAGGGATCCCAAGCGCCTAAAAAAGTAACTTGAATAAGAGAGATGACGTTAGCTAGGCCTTTAAAATAATTTATAATATATAATAATAATAATATATATGGCTTATATATGACTATAGTATTTACTGCCATTTCTTTGATCTTCAGTTTAGCCTTGTGTTGCTGTTCTTTAGTTTCGCCCTGGATGTAAAAGTACGGTTCTTCTACTTGTATGTAAGTCTGTGTTTCCTCCTGTAGTTCTATTACATTTTTCCCGTTCTCACCAATGACCAATGGAATGATCGTAGGATCGTCAGGAACTTTCACGCACAGAAGACTATCCTTTATCCTATCCTGGATCAAATACAATTTTAGATAAACATGTAAGAATTAAAGAGAGTTCCTTAGGCGTAAAATGCAACTCTACTACCTAGTTGCTAATGAGTAATAGCGAGAGAAAATGAACTAAGAGAAGGAATCCCCGCGCCCCATCTCACGAGCACTGTTTGATGCTATATTCAGAACAAGAGAATATGAACTAACTTAGTTCATTTTCTCTTGATTCAGAATCATTGATGCATTCATTCATTTGATCGTTTGTTTTTCTGCTCGCGTCTACTCTACGCTGTTCGCTCACGTTTTCTTGCGTTTTTCTTCTTTCGACTCCACCCCGAAATGACCGTGTAGGACGGAAGCTTGTCAAAAAATCGTAATTATATGAATTTTATTTTGAAATTTTTGGAAAATAATAAATAACCATGACATTTTTCACCAGTGTCGACGTACGTTGTGGATAATGAGGCCCTCACAGGGGAAGGTAGGGGGAGGGGTTTAGGGGAGGGGGTGGTGAGACAAATTTGTTATTCCCTTCAAGATGAAATACAAAATTTGTCAATTCGTCCCCAAACATATGATTTTTCACAAATTTGTCTCCTTCTTCCAAAGTTATTTTATATCCCTTGTTTCCTAAAAGTAAATGGCCAAGTTCCCTATTGTTCCCTCGAACCCCGTGGATTATAGTGCATCGGGCCATGGCTAACTATATACTTACTTGCAATTCGTTGATCATGTCTTCAGCTGCTTGTATATGTTCCTKTTTAATTCCAATCAGACACAAACCTTCTTCTGTGCCCTCTATTCCAGTTTTTGTCTTTTCTCTAATTTCGTCGAATGTTGGCAATTTTTGTCTTTTGTTGTGACAAGTCATAAAGCGTTTCATGTAAAGAGGGACTTGAATTTCCTTGCTGACTCTGTCTTTCGCTATAAGAGGGTACCTTGCTTCCTTATATAAATAAATAATTGGTATTAAAAAAAAAACAAACAGCAATAACATTTGTGTACTAGTCAACAGGGACCCCGGAGAGGGAGGGGCTGGGCATGTACAGTAGCCTCAAAGCACACTTCTTTTCAATCTCAGTCCCCTCCGATCCTTTCACTAATCATCATTATTATCGGTCATCATCATCTTCAAAATCCTTATTATTATTATATTATCATATTATTATTATCATTATCATTATTATTAAGTTCTGCCTTAATCTGTCTCAGGGGTTCTAGAACAGTCAGACGTTCAAGATCAAATGTACAAGAAACTGACTTTGAACTCGATAATTGCCCTATTTCACTATGACGTCACATCAAAACAATCTTTTGTTTAAACGCAAAGGATCATGGTCGTCGGAGGGGTTCAAATCAACGCAAATTCACCGAAAATTGTTCTAAAACTTGTATCAATCCACGAAGAGAAGTAGAATAGCAAGCTCAGAATATTTTTTAGTACATATTAACACACATTATATCTGAAAAACAGGCCATTTTAGACTAAACTGTTTCGCTAGGAGCAAATTTAGTTGAATTCTCTATTGGATTTGGCGATTCTATCCCCGACATAAACAAGCAGTGACGTCATAGTGAAATAGGACAATTGCCGCGCTAGATTTTGAATTTTAGGACTAGGATATTTAATATCATTATTATCGTGATGTTAATACTCTATGTTTCTTAGTTTTTTTTAAAAGAATATTATCTATTTAGTATCAATATTTGAAATTTTTACAAATAATCTATACATTTTGATTAGTTCTTAACAAATTATGATCTTGTAAATATTTATTTCTTCTTCTTCTTCTTCTTCTTCTCATCATTATTATTTAAAAAATATTATTATTATTATTATTATTATATTATTATTTCATTGCGAGACAAACCACAAGTGCTTTTTGCACACTAGTTTGTTGATCCTATTGGCATCAGTCCTGTTACTATAGCTATAAGCAAATACATGGCACAAAATGGCACAAGACAGCCTCACTTCCCGTTAATTATCCTACTTCACCGCTAACCTTTCACGCATTACCCTATCAACCCTGAAAGCGTCTTTTCTAAATATACGAGGACATTTGTCTTCCGTACCGGTTCAGGGTTCTGAGTGAATAGTGAGCGCAAATGGGAATTATATGAACTCCATCCCTAACGGAAAATTGCTTCTTTCTACGACAGTTCCTTGCAACAGCCTTTTTAACAGCTGAAACCGCCAACTTTATTTTATGTCAGTGCACATGAAACTGCTATTTCAATTACGGTAAAAGTACATCTTTGATAACGTACCCTGATTGACTCGATCATGCCTTTTGCCATCCTGACTTGGTCCTCTGTTCCTGTAACGCGAAAACCTTCTTCGACGCTTTTCACTTTTGCATTGGACTTCTGTTTTATTTCTTTTATTTTCCGTCCATTTTTACCTATAATATGACATCTAAGTTCCTTAGGAACCTCTATCATCTCCATCTGCATCTTGAATTCTGGAATTCTACGCGTATTACCTTTTATCCTTATTAAGAAAAAAACATTAAGTTAATTCATTTAGTTGAGGTTTAATTTTAGTGTATAGCAAGGTGAGGTGAGGTGGGGTGGGGTGGGGTGAGGTGAGGTGAGGTGAGGTGAGGTGAGGTGAGGTGAGGTGAGGTGAGGTGAGGTGAGGTGAGGTGAGGTGAGGTGAGGTGAGGTGAGGTGAGGTGAGGTGAGGTGGGGTGTGGTGTGGTGTGGTGTGGTGTGCTGTGCTGTGGCATGCAGTGGTGTGTGGTAAGGTCATATGGTGTGGAGTGGTGTGGTGTACAGTTGTGTGGTGTGGTGTGCAGTGATGTTGTGTCATGTAGTGCAGAGCAGTGTCAGTAGTGTAGACTTGTCTAGTACAGCTCATTGCCGAGCAATGAGAATAATTTTTGCGGCCATATTTTGAATTACTGTTTGCTATTTAAAATATCAATAACCAATGCAATAAATATGTTGTAAATGCCCCTCGAACCACTAGAAATCGCACTTCCAATGGTCTCAGTTTAAACTTCCGTGGGGCCTACCCCCGACCCCCCTAGGTGCTCCTGCCTTTAGCAGTCTTTGGCGCGCGACTCTTGTTTTACTAGTGCATTACATTTTCTCACTTTGATGACCCACATTACATCAGCCGTGAAAATTTCGATCTTAATCATTACACTTAAATAATGTAAAAACCATCGGGAATTCCGAACTCAGGCAGCGAGTGCCATATAATWATTTTTTTAGCTTTTAATATATGCTTACATTGACACTCCAACCGTGAGACTTCGAATGTTTTTTCTAAATTCACATACTGTAAATCTGTAAATAATCTCTTGAGCCAATCGATTGGAAATAATGTAAGATTTATTTTGATCACTCCATGTATTTTAATCAAGAGAGCATTAATATTCTTATTTTTGCTTTTTTGTTTGAAAACAATATAAAGGCAGTAGAAAGTTTATAGGAAATGATAACCTAAATCCGTCATATGAAAACTCGAAGTCAGTCGAGTCGTTCGAGTGCCCTCACCGCGTGTAATGCCGTCAAAATTATAATGACGCATGATGTTATATCTACTTCTATATTTACCAAGTGTATTCCCTGCTAGCAGCGTCTCCCTCATTGGTGATTTGTTGRCCAAAATTCTCTCTGCCAAGAATGTATTGCCAACGAGAGAGACTATGTTAGCAGGGAACCAAGTGTATAGACAGTTGGTCTATCTTTCTCTTGCACCCAGAGAAAGGCTGCTGTAAAAAAGCTTCTAGCTTTTCTGTTATTACTACTTTACTTACATTTAAAAAAAGCTTTTCTGTCGTGTGTTTCTGTTGCCTTAGTAAGCTAGTTCGATTGTCTCTAGTCAGTGTTATAAATATGTGAGTTGTCTAGATTTTTTGAAAACATGACTCGACTCATGTGACTCTGCAGCACAAACCACTTCCGGTTGTTATGCTAGTATTTTCTTTCAATGATGTAATAATGATAATAATCATCTTTCTTTCTTTCGACAGTAAACCTATGCCACATTAGTGATTTATAATAGTGATTATAATAGTGATTTATCACTCATGCACTCTAATAGTGATTTATAATAGTGATTTAGAGTGCTTTTAGTCTCACTGTTGAATAGGTGACGTCAACTAARTTAGATAAGTTATTTACTATTTTAGGTGACGTCACCTAAATTTGAAACTRCGAGTAAACAGCTACTKAGATCAGGGGGAGAAACGATGATACAAATGAATGTCTATTCACTCATTCTCTAGTAAAACAACATGACCGTTATTTGGCGCGCTTTTACTATTTTAGGTGACGTCAACTAAATAGTTATCTAAGTTAGATAAATTTATCTAACTATTCAACAGTGAGACTAAAAGCACTCTATAATAGTGATTTATAATAGGTCCGTACTAATGACCGAGAGCCAATTATTTTCCCGTACGACCCGACCTAAACTCATAATAAAATAAAAGAAAGAAAGAGATAGTAAATAAAAGCTAAAACAGAGAAAGCGCGCGGATTCACAACATTTTTTACTCATTTTACATTTTGGCGGTTTATTTTTATCGTCACTAGCATTTTGGCTTCCATCCATTAATCTAAATACTGTCTAAAAGTCATCAATGTTTAATCGTCGGGAGCCAAAAACCCAAAAGTCTGGAAAATATCGAGTTGAAAGAAAAAATGGGAAGCGTTCAAATACCAAGTAGGTTCAGAAAATTTGATACAGGAGTCTGAAAATTTGGGCTTCCTGTGGAAACAGTTTTAGTTATTGGTCATGCGCTATGAAGAGGAAGGCTGTAGGTTCGCTTGAATCTCCAACAAGAGAAATAAAAATGCCTAAAATATCAGTGGAAAAAGAGAAAAAATACGACAGACAACTAAGGTTAGGAATTATGAAGGTTATTCTATATACTTGGTGATAAAAATGTTTTATTTTTGTGTTCATGCGAGGAGTGAATTGGACGATTTGGCCGACTTTTATTCACGGTATCAAAACTTGAAATATTAGATTTTCAAGGTCGAGAATGAGATTATGAGGGGATCAAAAAACTTTAACCAGTAGATATTTAACGAGGACGAGGACATTTATTGATAAGGCTTATATTTCTTCTTTTTGGCTTGCAAGAACTATCTGCTTTTGGTATTGATGATGGATAGTCGGTTTGAAACCTAGGGAAAAAAACGACTCCAGAAGAAATACTTGCAGCATTCTGCTTTTTGCACGTCGATTAATGAACCATAAGCTTATCTTAAAACTTGTTATAGAATYTCATATCCATTTTCGTTTTCGATTTTTCCTACATTGTTTGTTTTACATGTATTGTTTAATATATAACTTGCTAATAACAACGAGTTTGGCATTATTTCACCTGAAGAAGAGTGCATATATAAAAACATCAGCATATAAGCTTATGCTCGTTTTCTGTCATTTGCTCAAATATTTAAAGTGCTACTACGACGAAAATCGCTCAAACTTGGATTCAGCTGAAACTTCCTAAAAATACTCTTTAAAGGTCCAATAATCACTGTATGAAGTGTTTTCTCGATATTCAGTACGAAAGTATGATATTTTTACGATTATTTTTTG